TATACATATACAAAATATACATGCCTATTTAGACATAGTCAAAACTGTATATACTGTATATTCTCGCTTAATTTTATCAACTTGATTGTAAATATTAATGCATGCAGATATATGAAACGTTGTTTTGTAATCAAATATTCTATTACACATTTTAGCACTCAAACCGGTCTCATAGTTATATTTATACCTACAAGTCATAAAGGCATGTTTCGTTGTTCTTAAAAGAATCCCGCTTTATATACAATCAATGACGCATAGTCATATGATACATACATAAATCATAAAGGCATATATGTTTCCTTCTTCCTAAAAAAACCTGCTTTATACATTCAGTGACTGACACACAGTCATATGATACATAAGTTATAAAGGCATGCATGTTTCCTTGTTCTTAAAAAAATCCCGCTTTATACATAAGACATGTATTCACTGATATTCACTCAAACACTCCCTATACAGTATACATACTTTAAATTTGACTATATACTGATAATACGTATATTGAGTATATATGTAGCCTATGCACTATATAACCTACATACACAGTATACACTATATATACTCTTTGACATTCACTTAAACACTCACTATATACATTTCTGACAATATACTGATAATATACGTATATATATACAATACACAATATAGCCTACACTATATATTCTTTGACATTCACTTACTCACTCACTCACTCTCTATATATACACCACATACAATTTTGACAATACATTGTCTATTGTGAATATGTATATAGGCTGCAGAATATGCACAATATATCCTACATGTCTATATATAGTGTATACATATACGCAATATACAATCTATTCTGTATATATACACACTGTTTACACAATAGATATATAAAAGTGTAGGCTATATTCTGCAATATCTGGGCATGCTCGAAATATTGAGGGTTATTTTATATTTTTCATAATAAATACACCTTACAAAATCTTTCGCAGGTATCAGTTACATTAATAATATACCTGAATTCAGTGTCAACACAAATTTTGTGCTCATGCCACATCAATATTAATCAATATCATATTTATGTGGAACACTGTAAATCAGTTTGAATTAGTATGCACAGGAGTGCATGCCAATGAACCATTCACTGATCTGCAAATGAGCTGTATATGTAATTATTTCATGATTGACTCGGTTTTCTTTGATGTACCGCGGGCTTTATCTACCATAAAGCCCTTGAATACCATAAAGCCCTAATTAGTCAAGAAATAAGGGAGAAAACTAGAAAAATACTTGTCGAAATCGAAAAAAAAAGAATAAAACTTTGTTAGAAAACTTCTTCAATCATGAAATAAGTCAGTTAAATACCTCGAATGTCGGGCTTTATGCTATATATAGCAAAAGCCCTCCTTCTCGGTATTTAACTCTTACATACATAAAGCTGTGGATCAATGGACAAAATATTAGTGTTAAAATTAGCTGTAATTTCAAGAGTCAATCCATAAAAGTAAATAGCTTTTAACAACAGTATCATGTTCAATCTAGGTCATTGGTATTGTTTAATATATGACGGCCTGTCTGGTTCAATGATAATACAATCATAATAGGGAATAGTACAATTTCTTCTTCCAATTGTCTGACGACCTGAACCGTCTCGTTCCCTGCAAACACCATCTGGCACGACCTTAAGACCTTGAATAGACTATCTATTATTACGGTCATATACAAGTATTATAATAATACATACAATTAAACCTCATATTAACTGAAAATAATTTCACTAACTGGCTGTAGATGTCTGTTCCTCTGTATATTTTGCAAGCTCTTCTAGTTCCTGCCTTTTGGACGAAATTTGATAGTCGGCCTGGTTTAAATTTGCTTCCCAACATTGAATTTCCTTCCTCTGACTGATCACTTCAGCTCGACTTGCCTTGAGATTGTATACAGGAGAATTCACCCAGAATTTGTGAGACTGCTTCTCAGAATTACATTTTCCTCTATGATTTGAACTCTTAGTACACCTTTTACCTTTTCTGCATGTAGATAATGGGCTGTAAATATCAATACACATTATAAATAAATGAAAATTAACGATATACTTCGAGACGAAGGAATCCAATATGGCGAACGCATATTGCTATAAATATGCAAATGAAACACGATTTCGAACGAAGTTTCTTACCTATTTCCTGAGCTTGATCCCAGTTTAAATGAAACAAAATAAGATGATTTCCAACTTTTATTTTAGTTTTTCTTCCGAGAATGAGATTTAACAAAGTTATCGCGATTATTCGACGAAAATATGGCAAAATTTCCGGTTTTGTTGAATTTACACGGAATATATACACTACTAAGGGGGAGAATAAAAGTGAAAATGTGTTATTTCACTTTGCCTTTCCTAGGGGACCCTTCATGGTAAATTTTGTCGCAAGCAGTCGCCATAGAAACACGAAATTTGTCTTAAAGTAGGGTCAGTTCGACGGGCATTTTAAACTTATTTTGCAACATATTGGGAAAATTGACAACATATATCACTTTTGAGAGTGTAGTTTGTTCTATTAAAATATTTAAAAAACAATTTCACTGCGAAAAAAGCTTGAAAAACTCAAAATAATACCTAGCTACTTCGCCACTCATATAAATTGCTTGCGCCATTGTTTACGTGTCACATGACCAACCAGTTGATGCGGGAGGAATTTCCATAGCAACCGACCACCGTGTTGAAGATAGAAGTTTGTGTTTTCGATCAGGCATTTTATGCAAACACGATGGAAATATTCTGGAAACACAAATCCTTATTCAAATGTCTTGTGATAATGATGGGTGGATTCCATCTCCTCATGTTGTTGGGTGTCATTGGAACCAGATTTGGTGATGCTTGTCTCCAGGAACTTGCTGTAAAAAGCGAAGTTGTTGATGAAGCGGTATAACAGAGCTGTGCACCTTCAAAAGTTGACATAGGAAGCGCTAATAAGACTTATTCTGAAGGAGTTTGAGTTGTCCGTTGAGTTAGTAATGCTTCTGGACCTAGAACAACTGAAGCTACATAGTGATACATTCCTCGAGTGGTAGAAGCAGTTTAATGCATATGTTCATGACATCAAGAAAAGTGGAACTGACTTCGCACGATTCTGGCTTACATACATCGACCTGTGCGAACTCCTACTCAATTTAATTTATGCCACACACACAGAGATTCATGGTATCTCTATCTTGTGTGCATCGAATAAGAGATGCAATGAAGCGGACAAGACTATTGAGAATACCATAAATTGAGATTGCAAAACAAGCGGTGGGTATATATTAATGACGCAAGGCGTGCTGTATACAGGGAACTCATGTGAGAGCATTTGTCTATTGCAACAAATAAAGCGTATCTCCACAACAAACTGACACCAGGAAGGATAAAAGCTGATGCGAGGGATGTTGATAAATTAGCTGACCTTCTGGATGAAATATTTAGTAATCCTTGGAAAACAAATGCCGAGTTTCCCAGCTTGTCTACGGGGATTGCTGTGACAACTGAACCATGTGTTGAAAGATCGAAACAGGCTTCATCAGGCTCTGATAGAATCGAGTACAAGAACATTCTTCCGGGTTATAAAGTTAAGTCTTGTTGTAAATTGCTCTGTGTTACTTCAAACAAGGTCGAAATTGTGAAGTTTTTGTTGACCAAAATCCCAAAATCAACAGACATTTAGTGACTTTACTGTAAAACAGTTACAAATGGAAGAGCAGTTTAAAATCGTGCATAACAAATGTAACTGTCTTGAACAAAGAAATACCTCCTTACTGGGACAAATATTGCAGGTCAAAGAAAATTTGAATGAAGAAATTGTAACACCACCCACATCTGAACCCCAACAAAATAACAACCATATAATTTTCAACCTACCCACATCTAACCAATTTGAAAGAATAAATGATGAATCACTTAACAGTAACGAAGGGGAAAATACCTACAAATCCACCCTTGAATCAACCAAGTCCACCTAATATTGATAAGTCAAACACACCAATGATGCAGAAACCATTATTCTGTGACAGTAATGGTCGTTACATTAACCCAAGCCTTCTGTGCCTTAAGATGTGCGACACTGTCTCAAACAAAGTCATCATCGAAAAAACCACCTCTTCTCCCAAAACATTCATGTTACATTGTGGGACAAATGACCTTGAGAAAACACAATCGAACGATGAGTTAATCAACCAAACCATGGAAATTGTCGAAAATATTGAAAAGTCATACCCTCAAAGCCGAATAATTCTATCAACCCTTCTATCTTGGGGCGATGATTTAGACAAAAGAGTCGCTACAATCAATAAAGAGCTAGAAAATACCTTATCTGCAAAGAAAAATGTCAAAATTGTGATGCACGAGAATCTCGAGAAATCCAAACACCTGAAGGATAAAAAGCACCTAAATGAAAAAGGTGTGAAGTTATTTGCCCAAAGTTTGAAACAGGCGTACTTCAACAAACTTCCTCGAACTTGGAACTTTCCCCAAAACCAGCAGTACAGAACCCAATATACCCAAAGCAGATTTTACCAACCCAATCCATATACTCATTACCCAATCCTTAACAACCGTCAACAGAAACATATCCCTCAGCAACAAGCAACTGAACCCCCCCCCCCACTGATGGCATTCAACCCCTATGACCCCTATCATCTCTCAATGCCCTATCATCAACACTCCAACATCTCAAGTCAACCAAAAATGAATGAAAGAATGTCAAAGCAAGATAATCCTAAAATTCCATCAGAGTTGGTATAATAGGTATGTTATATAAACTATCCAGATTCCAGAAGCTTAATAGCAATAGTTCTTTATAGAATTGTCTCTAAGATCTCACGTAGCCTAGTTATAATCATATTAAGTTTACAAGCTATTTTATCTTTTTAACATATATTGATCCTATATTTTGGTAGATTTATGTAATATATATAGGATCAATCTCTACCAATCTTATGCTATCATAAGTACATAAATGCCAGCAAACTTATCATTTAGCACATGGAACATCCATGGTCACACACAGTGTCCTTGGTGATAAAACAAAAAACCAGGACTTCATGGATAACATTAAGTAAAGTAGATTTTGTGTTTCTAACTGACACATGGTCTAAAATAGATATTGATGTGCAATCCCGCTTGTCAGGTGGGATAACACTTTTAATTAAAACAAAATTTGAGAAATATGTTTCAATCGCCAAAAATTCAAAAAAAATTTTATGGCGTAAAATTTTAAGACTTATTAAACACCGCTGCAGACCTATTCTTATGTGGTACATACATACCACCTGAAAAATCTTCATATTTTGACAATGAACTCTTTGACGAACTAGAAAATGACCTAATTTTGCATTTGCATCAAAAGGAAACACAATGATTCTTGGTGACTTTAATACAAGGACAAATAACCTTGATGATCGTGTCTCTAAAGATGGCAATAATTTCATAAATGATACCAGTGAAAATTGCTTACAACCTCAAAACAGAGAAAATTTTGACAGAAATATAAATAATCATGGGAAACAATTAATCAACATATACAAAAATACTGACATGAGAATTCTAAATGGTAGAACCAAAGGAGACTCATTGGGTAGACCCACTTTTCATGGAAGAAATGGTACAAGTGTTGTGGACTACATCATATGTGACCAAAATTATTTTTCAAAATGCTAAATATTTTGTTGTCAAACCACCAACATACTTGTCTGATCACAGCCAAATCATTGCATGGATTGATGTTCAGAAAACAATACAAATTGACAAAAATAATCACCCCCAATCTCCCTTACATAAATTACCACTTCAATTTGAATGGTCACAGAATTCTAATTTCAGACAAGCTTTGAAATCACCTAAAATCCAAGCAAAACTGAACCAACTCATAAATTCAAACTTTTCTAATGACATAAATGGAGTCAATAATTGTGCGAATGAGTTTCAAAGTATTATAATTGAGGCATCCAAAAGGTCACTGAAAATAAGAAAAAAGAACGTTAGATGAAAGTTAAGAGAGGATGTCCACAAAAATCAAACATAAAGCGGCCACGACTGAAAAATCGATTTTGCTCAAATTTTGCCCAGATATACCTTATTATATTGGAAAATGCACCATATATTTTTTTAGGTCAAATGCTTTTTTAACTTTGAGAAAATGCCGTTTTAACACGACCACCCTAAATCGCCATTTTTTCTGGGAAAATATGCGCTGATTTTACAGATAAATTTCACGACGACAACCGTTTCTAATCGATCTAAAACCCTAAAAATCTTGTTTTCGGTTATTCAAAGGACTGTGTACATGACTTACAGGAAATCTGAGTTACTTTTAGGAATAGAAATAATCGTAGTTTTGGAGCACACTATCTTACTTCATTTGCGATACCCTCTTAACAAAATCGATTTTCACCATGCGATAAAGCTCCAAATCGATCATGCTTCTACTAGTTGGCTCTTTAATAAAAAGCTTTCAATTGACGTAAATACTTCTTTTGGCAAATGAATACGCGATAAACGACAGCGCGTTGAAATCGTCCGTTTTTGACGTCTTGCAAGTCAAACGCTGTTAATTTATACACCGTCGAAGTAAACAATTTAATCAAGTATTCTAAGTATTTTACCTTTCGAGAAAAAACATATTCTTGAATGGGGACTTTTCACTTTGCTAAGTTTAAAAGTGGTCCAGAAATCCCAGTATATTTGTAAAAAAATCCCAGTATATTTGTAAAAAAATCATCAAACATCCAGTATTTTGAGACATTGTTGACGGTTGCATGATAACTTCAGGTGATTGCCGACCCGGCTGTTTGACTTTTAATAGCGCTAACATATACAAATCGATGAGCTATTTAAGGATTATATTTGCTACTAAATCCCCCAAAATAATTGGAACTACAACTGCTGTTTTCAGAGGTTTTGATCCATTTTGTCCATATTAATGTACCATTTTATTTATCGCCTGATGTTTACAAATACGTAAGTTAATTATTAAGCAGCTGTTAGCGTGCGTGTACATGTGAGATGAACGTTTATAATGTTTATCCATATAAGGAGTTTTTATTTTTAGTTTACCAGCCCTTATATTTGAATAGTCGTTTTCTTTCAAGTTGTTTTCTTTATTATACTCTGCAAAGTTGATTCCGAAATGTTAAGGGTATTCGAAAAAACTATCAAACTTTTCCATGATATTTACAGAGAAACGTCACAGCTATAAACCCCCCTCCCCCACCCCCAAAACGAACATATGACGTTTCTTGTGGAAAAATCGATATGTGAGGCTTCCCGAAAACTGCAAGGTTTACACCATAGATATAGGAGATCTACATTGCTAACGCATACCTAGCGCAGGCGGGGCCTACATGATAAATCCAAGATGGCGGTACAACAGGGCAAAAAGACTATAAATTCTATTACGAAAATCAGGATTTTTGCATTTTTTGCCGTCGCATTGTTTTGAAACTTATTCGGTCAAATTTTATGGTAAAGAGAAACTTACCGCGAAGATTTTGAGCATATATATGATTGAATTGGATGAAAACTCGCAAAATTATCCATCGATAAAAGTTTGTGCCTAGTACTGATATAGTACTATATATGTAACTTGTGCAGTTTTGCTTTAATATTTGCTCACTATTTGCATAAAAAGCAAATTATAACAGACCATAGATGATAGACCCTCATCCAGTGCTCTCATCAGTTTACTTCTCTAACAAGCAAGGAGGGGGGGGGGGGTACATAACAGTTCATTTTTCATAATTATGAGGACAGAGCAGATGATGATGAGAGATGCAAGTATAAAACACCATTCACAAGGCTAGATGTTAACATAGCACAGTATTTCTGGCAATAAAACGCTCCAAATGACCAACTGACCATTTCACACGAACTTTTATCGCTGGATAATTTTGCGATTTTTCATCCAATTCAGTCATATATATGCTCAAAATCTTCGCGGTAAGTTTCTCTTTACCATAAAATTTGACCGAATAAGTTTCGAAACAATGCGACGGCAAAAAATGCAAAAATCCTGCTTTTCGTAATAGAATCTATAGTCTTTTTGCCCTGTTGAACCGCCATCTTGGATTTATCATGTAGGCCCCACCTGCGCTAGGTATACGTTAGCAATCTAGATCTCCTATATCTATGGTTTACACTATTGAATTAAAATCCCACAGACCACAACGATTATACGTATTGATTGTTTCTTGACGATAGTAGACGCGTACGTGCATGTTGCGGAAGAGGTTATTTCGCTGGCCTCAGAGTGACAAAAGGTACTCTGGTTCTAGAGGTTTAAAATAATAAACCTCTGTTTGAAAGCGGCAATTAATTCATTGAGCCGCGCCAATCAGCTTGAATTAGAGTAGATAGTTATGATAAGACAAGGGCGGCGCCAGGGCCGCCCATGCAGGGAGGCGGCAAAGGGAGCAATTTTCTCCGCGACCCTAGCTCAAGGAAGACAGGCAAATACAAATTTGCAAGGCGATAAAAAGTTTGTCGACGGAGGGGGGGTAATTGTGGTTCACCGGGGCCCGAAGGGTATAATTGGCCCTGGGGCCCCATATTTCACTGAGCTGGTTTGGGCTGCGCCAGTATTTCTCCGAAGGGGGGAGTCATCAGTGCTCTCTTTTGATCTTTGTCAATTGGCATTAAAACCGCAAGAACTACCGACAAGTGACCAGGGCCGGATTAACGTCGCGCGAGGCCCGTGGCAAATTTTAGCGCGAGGCCCCCAAACCTCCCCCTTTCTTCTTTTTATGAAAACCATTGAATTTAAAGACACACAAAAGTGTTAAATAATTTTTTTCAATATTTCAATTTATTTGCATCAATTATAAACGAGATAATGGCCTGCCTGGCGCAGTTGGTGGGTATAAACAGGATCATAATATAACAGCTCAGCGCAACTAAAGATTATATGAACACGAGTATTGCATATTTTCCCGGGACCGTGCTAGGGCGAACTGCCAAGCCTAGGGGCCCTAAATGCGCGAGGTCCCTAAATTCGCGAGGCACCTAAAATGGGTGTATCCCAATAGAAAATGGCCGTGTTCTCGTAAAAATGGGCGTAGCACAGTAAAGCGCGAGGCCCACGGCATTTGCCGTATTTGACACGTGGTTAATCCGGCGTTAAACGAGCAACAAGCTTTCATTTTCTTTAAACGCGACGTATGGGGAGACAATAATAATTTGTGATGTCGCACTGGGCCAAAATACTCAATGCTGTATTTTTGGGTACTAGTACTTGTGAAATATAATAAGATCAATAGACATTAGTGTATCAAAATAAAGTAATTTTACTGATTATTTTAACTGTGCATCAAAGTAAACACACATTATTGTAAACTACAGTATTTGCTATATGCCTATAATTTGAGTTTGAGGTGGTAGAATATATAATAAAATAACAAATCCTTGTATGGATAAATGTTCATTTCACACGCACGCTATTAACAGCTGCTTAATAATTAACTTATGTATTCGTAAACATTTATACTCGATAGTCGATATGTAAATACTAAATGGTACATTATATGGATCAATGCAAACTGGAACAAAACAACAATTTCTAATTTTGGGAAATTTAGTAACAAATATAAAATCACTAAACAGCTCATCGATTTGTATGTTTGCGCTATTAAAAGTAGACAATATTGAACAATGATCTGAAGTTGTCACGCAACTGACAACAATATTATATTTCAAAATACCTGTATATGATGATATTTTACAAGTATCTCGGGATTTTTGGACCAATTTTAAACTAAGCAAGATAAAAAGTCTCCATTCAAGAATATATCTTCTTCTCAAAAGGTAAAATACTTAAAATACTTGATTAAATTGTTTACTTCGACGGTATGTAAATTAACAGCATTTGACTTGCAAGACGTCAAAAACGGACGATTTCAACGCGCTGTCGTTTATCGCGTATTCATTTGCCAAAAGAAGTATTTACGTTAATTGAAAGCTTGCTTATTAAAGAGCCAACGAGTAGAAGCATGATCGATTTGGAGCTTTATCGCATGGTGAAAATCGATTTTGTTAAGAGGGTATCGTAAATGAAGTAAGATAGTGTGCTCCAAAACTACGCTTATTTCTATTCCTAAAAGTAACTCAGATTTCCTGTAAGTCATGTACACAGTCCTTTGAATAACCGAAAACAAGATTTTTAGGGTTTTAGATCGATTAGAAACGGTTGTCGTCGTGAAATTTATCTGTAAAATCAGCACATATTTTCCCAGAAAAAATGGCGATTTAGGGTGGTCGTGTTAAAACGGCATTTTCTCAAAGTTAAAAAAGCATTTGACCTAAAAAAATATATGGTGCATTTTCCGATATAATAAGGTATATCTGGGCAAAATTTGAGCAAAATCGATTTTTCAGTCGTGGCCGCGAAATGTCTCATATGTTCGATTTTTACTGACATTCACTCTTAAGTAATGTAACCAACAAAAAGTGGTTTGACAAAAGAATGCCGGATAAGGAGACATGAAGTTTGTAAACTTGCAAACCAAAAGCATAAGGATCCAGGAAATATTGATTTAAGAAATGCTTATTATTCCACATTAAAAACATACAGAGACTCTATAAATAAAGAAAAACAATTTTCACCAGGAAAAGATAAATGAAGTAGAAAAGGCAACTGAAAATAATCCAAATTTTTTTTTGAAAATTCTCCAAACTACTAATGATACCATACAGAATAATATTAATACCAACAACTCCCCAAGCGAAGAAGACTGGCTTGCACATTTCGGAACATTACACTGCAAATTAACATAGATTAACTCAAGAATATGAGGAAATCATTGAAAAACTTGAGAATGCACAAGAACATAAGAATCAATTTAATGAGCTTGACAAAGAAATTACAGGTTATGAGATATCAAAGGCAGCTAAGAAAATAAAACTAAAAAACAGCATATTCTGACAAAATTAATAATGAAATGATCAAATCAAGTATAGATATTCTCAACAAAGGTTTTATCAAAGTGTTTAACATTATAATAACTTCAGGAATTTTTCCTGGAGCATGGTGTGAAGGATTAATTACCCCAATTCTTAAATCAGGAATTAAATTAGATCCCAACAATTAAATTAGATCCCTGTGTGTCAAGTACCTTAGGAAAGTTTTTCTGTTCAATCCTCAATGATAAATTAATGACTTTCACAATAGAACAGCCGACCACATTCTAACATTGAAAACACTACACAACACACATGTTAAAGGTAGGTTACAGTCCCTTCTGCGCATGTCTGTAATTGTTTTTGCCTGGGGACTCCACCGGAAGTTGGGCATCTCGATTTATACTCGGTCCAGTCTCATTTCTGGCAATAACACGCGCGTTGTTTTTTTCGCAAGCGAAGGAGTGAAGCTAGAAGTTTCCAAAATATACTGAGCTTTTTTGAGCGACAATCCTTCAAATAACGAGTTTTTGAGGCAACATGACGAGTAGGAAAGAATACCACGCTAGCAGGGATGCTTACAAAGTGTATCAAAGTGTATCTATTTTATTGTTTTCCTCGATGGAGAGCGTGCCATTTCTGTCTGCGTTTCCCCATGAACCTACATCCTCTGATCCTCAAGCTTCTACTAAAGGTTTTCAAGAAAAGAATCCAAGAAGGATTGGACATTTCACCCAACATAGCTGCTATTCACTCCCTTCACTGTGGACACTTCAGTGAAATCGCTTGTTGAAGCCCATCAATCGAGGTTTTAATGACTATAAAATTCTCTTTATTCACTATTTTAATTATACACTATAGTTACATACGAACTGTTCTATCTCTTTTATTTACAAACTGAAACCCATATAATTAAGGCCTAAAGATATGATACTCGTGAGTAGGAGTTGTCAATGAAAAAGTGTTAATGAGCAATTTGAAGTCAACATGTTTTGGATGGCTGTTTATATAGTGTTTATTGTCAGAATGATAAATGATATAAATTAATCTACTTGACCGTGCTTTACTGTCTTTGACTGTCTTCTCATGGACAAATTGTGCTCACTTAATAGAAACACATAAAAAGTTTCTCTGATCAAAGTATATTTTAATCAAAGCAGCTTACAGCCCTCGAAAACGAGGTCGGCATTCGGCAATGCCGACCTATCAACCTCCCAGGCTGGCAAATTTTTGCCGACGTTGATTCAGCAAAAGTAAGAATTTTTTGTGCTGATAGCTGTTAAAAAGTCAGCAATTATAAAATTTGATTCATAGTTCGATAACTAAACACACTTTGGTGTAAGGTTTAAAAATTGACTTTTAAAAATTAAATTAAATTACCTCAGGTAACCGGGCTGGCTCGCCTCCATATAAACACCGCCTAAGACATTTAGTTTATAAAACATTTTGATCACAGAAACTTATATGATGTAAACAAACTCAATTAATAATTACTAGTATATTTTTTCACCCTAATTGTGACTAAAAACTTGCATATAAGAACCTACAATTTAAGAACCTGTCAGGCTAAAATTTTTTATTTAGACACCCTAAATAAGAATTTGTTTAGGCTAGCAATTCAGGTTTTTATTTTATCACATGAAGACAAATCAAATCTAAAAATGTATATAAATCAAAGAAAATAAACTCTTCACAAAGTCAAAGTAATGAGAATGATCCAGAACACTGAAAATGTCATTGAGATAAATAAAGTGTTAGCAGTTTTACAGTATAGCTTTACCGCGGCATAGCTATTAGTTAGATAATTTGTGCGCAATTTATATATATGTATATACATGTAAATTATACCTCGAATACCAAAAATGAGTCGCTTTTCTTTAAGAATTTAACCTAATTTCCAAGCTCTAATGATCATGTATTCACTACATGTATTGTCCAAGGTGGGATCTGGGGGTTTGAAATCCGAGCTTTCTTTCTCCTAGATGGATTGCCTCCTACACAAAGCAATCTGAAACACAAGCCACTTCATATTGTACTATGATTGCCTAATCTTGTGTCACAAAGAGTGGCACCATCCCATATATAGGTATATATTGTCAGAACAAGCTG